TAGTGGTCCTCATGAGCGGGAGGTTAAGTAATTATAAGACTAACGAAAGCATTCCATCCAGAATCTTATCTGATGCATTTAGAAATCGGTAGAACTAACGCGTGCTTTTCAGAAATGGTGTGTGACAGGCACTGATCACGTGCGATGAGTTCGAAATAAGTCCATGTGCTCCCGGGAACACTGGACTGGAGGAAGTCTGGATCGGTGCATCTCCAGTTCTTTCTTTTTTTCTTTGGAAATACGGGATTACAGTAATGTCTCTCCAATAGGCCACTACAGTAATGTCTCCCCAATTGGCCACCAGCAAGGAACCTAAACAGACCTATTGTAGAGTCAGGGACTACGTTTTCGAGCCTCGCGCCCGCCTTTGTAGTTTGCCGAACGAAGACACAGGCCAGCGAATAAAAGATAAGGATGAAACGTGAGTCGAGGCAACCAAGCGATTTAGACACCAACTTTTTTAATTTAATATTTTTTTATCCCGAAATTTTTCTTAACATATTGATGAGATTTTTCTGATGAAAATGACATCAAACACGATATAATTTAAACAACATTTACTTATTAACACGTTGACTGTCACGCCAGATTTACGGGTTGCTCTCAGGCGGCCACAAGAAAATTTTCATTATTTTAAGCATAAGATTATATTATGCTTTATAATTTTTTTTTTTTTTTTCAATTTAAAATAATGTCTAGTTAACTATGACGTTCAAAATTTTTAGTTGACGATATTTATTTTATTTGGTGGCCAATTGTAGAATAGCCTCGAATCACGTTTCATCCTTATCTTTTATTCGTTGTCCTTGTCTTCATTCGGCAAACTACAAAGGCGGGCGCGAGGCTCAAAAACGTAGTCCCTGACTCTACAATAGGCCTGTTTAGGTTTCTTGCTGGTGGCCAATTGGACAGATATTACTGTATATCGAGGATGTTGTAAACATGATTGTAGAGTCAGTTTTGTAGAATAGAGTGTAAAAAAAATGATATTCTTTACCGGATATATATGTACATCATACTGTAAAATATTATCCACATATATGAAGGTGGTGTGCATGTACAGATTTATTGACATGTATAAATTTGGATTCATCAGCTATATCTTTGTTACCTGTTTGAAAGATGGAACTTTATCTATTTGATATTGAATTCTTTTAGATGCTCTTGATGTTATCTGTTTATCTATAATTTGTAAATTACAAATTAAGCCTGGTTTTTGTCTTTATTTTACTCAATGAATCAATGATCAATGTTTGTACACATTGTAGCAAAGATATAAGTGATGATAAAGTAGTATGATGTGTATAATATAAAGAATGTACATATAGTTTTGTGTATATATATTCCAAGATTTGTCATGTTCAAAACACTGTTTACAGAACATATATTTAACAGTAAAAAGCTTTATATTGATAATGTAGAGATGAAAGTTCTTTTGATACTATTAAAAAGTTGTATTTCTATTCTATTACATTCTAATCATAAGTAAAATGTTCCCTAATTTTAATCTGAAAAAAATTATACATATTTTCTATATAAATTAATCAATGAAAGTTTCCACTTTATGTTGCATGCAAAAATTCATTCACTTTGTTACCCATGTTTCTTTACCATTCAACTTTCAATTTATATAATTGGAAATGTATTAAAAATTTGTTCCTTTACTTTATGAAAAAGAAATATTATTAATTTGAATGCTGTTGTTATTGAGAGCACTTCAATTCATTACACCAAATAAGCGTTTATTATCTGTGATAAAAAGTGTTTTGAAGCTGTCTATAATTGAAAAATTTCGTGGGAGTAAACGGAAGAAATGTTACTAGGAAAAAAAAAAGGAACCCCAATTCTTATTCTTCAATGTGTATGATGGAAGTAAATTACTTGCAGTACTAAACTGATAATGTATTAACGAAAGCAGAAAAAAAGCAATTTCTTAAATATTAATTTCAACGGACAATATGTGCAATAAATAATTTTACATGTAACACTTATATTTCGAAAAGTAAATAATTGCGATTCAAAAATGGATATGTGCGTAAAGCATTTAGAAGCGATGTGAAAGAACATTTTTCGACTTTCATATTTGAATAAAATACTTGATGTAAACTTCTGAAACATTCGAACTACTTTTCTAATCAATAGACTCCTAGATAATAGTGCTGCTAAAATTTCAAATTTTCAAACTGAATTAGTCGAATCAAAGATGGCTGACGTTCAATCGAATGTTTCAAAGTTGCGAATATTGCCCGCACATGCCGAATGTATACGTATTTAAAGACGTCTGCGTAATAAATAATCGTCAACCGAATAATAATGTATGAATAATCGCGTGCATATGTAAAACGGCGAGTAGCACTCGTCGTAGAACGATTTTCAGCGAACAGTATTAGTCTCGTTGCTTACTTATCAATACCGTAGTACACAAGTAGAAAACTTTATAGACACGCGACGGGCACAAAAGAAACTCTGTAAACTTCTGTAAAAAAGAAGAAAAAAACCTCCGGAATGGGTAGACACATTATTTTTATAGTCTCTGTAAATTGTCACGCTCCTTCTGTTCGATACTTCAGGGGACACCAGGGGCGTACACAAATCTTAACCCTTCACAAATTATTTTTCTGCACTCTGATAATGACGGACACGATAGGATCAGAGTGTATTTCATATAACACTTTGTTAAACAAGAAACGAATCACAAAAAAACTCGCGAGGCCTCGTGATGAATCAGAGGGTTAAGTACGACACGATTTAACTCCGTGGATATTTTTGTGGGAAAAGATTCTGCTGGAGAAATTTTCATCTATTTTTGTAAGTCGCTGATTCCCCAGAACAGATGACACGTGACGTTTATGTGTCTTCTCCCAATGAGAACACTCTGCTGATCATATTGCTATCACATACATTTTCCCGCCAAATGTGACGCCAACTTTGAGGTTATGTTGAATTAAAATTTGAACGTTTAAGGTTTACATGTGATACAATTGATCAGCAAAATGTCGATGAATCTATAAAGTACAATGAAACTTGTAAATTTCTCTCTAGAATCTGTTTTCCGCGATTGCAAAATGAAAACCGTGTGTATTTTTAACGGACAGCAATAATGCGCCGAAAACAAAATGTATTTGAAAGGAGACTGGGTAACGCACACGTTGTTCTTTACACTGCACATTTGTTGAGAGACGTATGATAATTTTTTATGTGGTAAAAACGCACTTCCGATGGACTGGATGTCACTTACTGACACGATCAAAAAACTTCGTCCCGACGATTGCTCAAAATTTCGAGTCGACGGAAAAATGTAAATGAACGACCGTTTTTTATAAGTATTTGGTACTTGTTAGTTGTGACGTTTCCAAATCGTTTTCCGTACTGAAATTTATGCGACTAGGGAGCAAGTGGTTTTGTTTAACATTCTAGTAATACAGAGAAAAAAAAGAGAAAAATAAATGGTTGAGAATATGAATTGTGTTTTCTCTTTTTCACGTGAAAGGGCCTAGCCGAATAAGCATGGTAAAAGTGCCCCGAAACCGAATCGATCTTGGTGCATATCATTCGATAGATCACTCGAAGAAAACCCTTTCTGCCAAGTATCAAGCTGGTACCCCTACCACTAGGGTAGTTACAGGGTGAAACGCAATTTACAGTTTAAGCTCCATTTCTCTTGTCCTACTCGATGAAAACTTATGAAAGAAATCATGGATGTGCTACCCAATGGCGTACATGTCTGTGAATTTTTTCACAATTGTTCACTGCAAAATCGACTTTTAAAAAATTCGGAAAGTTTATAAATGTTGTTTTTATATTGAAATTATCAAACGACCACGTTTATATTTTTACAGTATTAGTGTCTTGTTATGGATATTAATGTGTAATTTTTTCAGATTTCTCGAAGTGGGGGACGGCACCTAGAAAAATCAAAAACCGATGTTCGTTTATATTATTTAGTTTTTCGTGTGACCATATTCATTTTTCTACAGTTTTAGCAGCTTATTATGGTTATTAATGTTGTAGTAGGATTTTCGAAAAGAAAGGATTTTCTTTGATATCCGGGAAAAAAACCCAAAAGTTTATTTATCTTTCGTCGATACATGTTAAATGTTTGATACAGAATAATTTCGAACAAATCAATGCAGAGTTCAAGCTGTTGCTTTCGCTTTAGGGCGTCCGGCTTTCAGCAGCCGTACTCTCCTGTTACAACATCAACGAAACGGATAAAACGATTTATAACAATTACTGTGGGAAGGCGTCCAGGTAGCCTCCTGTACTCTACTCTCTGGAAGGCGCCCGGCGGATAGTCCAGCCGTTCTCTCCATTCCAGGAGCGACCCAGGTATAGCTCCCGTACTCTCCTATCACAATATTAAGTGGC